CCTTGTCACCCCATTAACAGTCTCGCAGCAAAATCCCAGGGTCTGTAAAGTAATAAAAAATACCCTCATCTCAACTATTGAACCCGTTTAACCACGTGACTACCACCCTCTTACCCCGCTCCTCTTCTATTTTGAAAAATATTTTCCTAATTTGAAGGTTTCTGGAGGAGGGTAAGATTTAAAATTCTATCAAACTTTATGTTTAATTTACCCTCACTAACTACCTACCTCTTGACTCTTTCGATCTCTGAAGTCTTTCTCCCTTTTAATTCTGTAATTTTTCAATTCTCTCTCTCCACTTTTTTATTTTAAAAATTTTCTTTTAATTTCTTTCTTTCTATCTTTCCATTATTCCAGTTCTTTCCTTTTATCAGAATTTAACGATGAATCATAGCTAGGTTTATTTTAAAGGTTTTTTGCACTTTTAAAAGGCACCACACACCACACCACACAATTTTTATGAACTTCCAACATTTCAAAACTGTATTCAGTAAAGGTTTAATTTTATTAAATTTTGCAATGCTTTTATCCTAAGAGAAAATCAATAAGTAAACTATCATTTTTATTCTTTTTTTGATTTGTTTTTTTGCAAATATTTTCTGTAAGGGTCAAAATTTAACAAGTAAATGTTCAGAATAAACAATTTTGAAATTACTCAAATTTCTTTGATTTTTGTGAAAACTCCAAAAAGTCCAAAATTCTTTAAAATTTTTGATAAAACGAACCGAGGTATGTCTCATCACTTTATGAAAAGAATTTTTTTAAATTTTTAAATACATTGAACACTGTGTACATTCAGAACAAACTTCAAAAGATCACAGAAAAAATCAGTTATATGTTGCAGGGCTTCAGACGCTACGTGTGGTACAAAAACTAGGATTTCATAGCTGTTAAAGTTTAACCCCCCCCCCCAAAAAAAAAATCAATTTTTTTATCTTTCTATCTAAATTAAAAGTAAGAATATCTATAACTATATATTGTAACTGTATATTTCTAGTCTGAAACTGACCAAGTTTTCAAATATAAAAATGAATAAAAATACCAGCTTTGGCAACACTGGAACCTGTAGAATTTGTATCAATACATATCAAGGAAATACAAAGAAAAGTAGCAGATGTTCATTAAAATCAGATGATGCTGATATTATTCAAAACATGTTTTCAATTATACATTTACACATTTTTATTTCATACTAGCTGAAGTGCCCGGCGTTGCCCGTGGAATTTTAAAGAAAAAGTGTAGATTTTTGACCAAAAAAATCGAATTTTTATCGCCTATGCTACCCCCAGGATACCCATGAGTTTCCTTAAAAAATGTCAGCCAATTCGGTCCAGCCAGTACTTGGCCAGCTATAGCTAACTATATATACACCCATACACATATTTATATATAAGATGAGAGCTTTTTTATACACTAGCTGAACGGGCCCGGTGTTGCCCGTGGAAAAAAAATGTCGAACTTTTTTAAGCCTTTAACACCCCCGGCCACCCCTGAGTGTCCACAAAAAATTTCAGCCCAATCGGTCCAGTCGTTTGGCTGGCTACACGCAACATATATGTATATACAAATGTCTTGTTTTATTATAAAG